TTGTGAAGAGTATGGAATCAAATTGGAAAGCCGACTTCTTGTAATACCAAGAAACAGTAACAATTAAAAACAAAAACATTGTTGAATAAACATAAGAGAAACATTTTTTTTCAGCATGTTTCATGTTGACATTAGAGCAGCATTCAAACAGTGAAACTTTAGTCCTTTACGAAGTACAGTATGTACATCGAATAATGGTATAGTAATCAAGACTAAAGTAACAGTTCCTTTGTGATACTCAAAATAGTTCTAAAGCTTCCGATTCCTCTATTAAACACTTCCTAATTATCCATTCATCCTTTACACTTCTATACTTCAACCTGTATCGCCTGTGCAGACTGAGTAGAACCCCATCAACGCATCCGCCGTTCGCTCCTCATACCACAGGCCATCACAGAAAAATGGAAAGTTTTCATATAATTTCAAAGTATTCCATTTGTGTAGGAGAGCAAGAACGAAGAAGATGAAGAACTAACTTATGAATTCGTGGAAGAAAGTTCGTTTCGACCATTATTCTTTATCAAAAGATTAACAAAAACGTTGTTTACGTAACATATGCCCGGAATAAAGCAAATATGAAGTGTTTTTTTAAGAAAATGCAAAATCATAATCGATTTGCCAAATTTGGTTTTCGTCATCGGACGGCAAACAGAATGATGACCTGTTAAGCTCTATTGAAGATTCCCTCATCAAAATATCTTCTCATCTTTCTGTTATCACACAGTATAATCTTAGTGAAAGAGGTTAAGTAATGGATTGGCCTTACGTTCAATATTATTTATCTTCTTTTACTTTACTTTATTATATTTCTTATAGAATTGCCCAAAGGCAGGTTTTATTTCTCTACAACCGGCCTTTTCCAACTTTTTTCCAATTTCTCCAGAATATTCGTTACATTGATTTTATTGAGAGAAGATGTTCTGAAATGAGGAAAAATGAAATCTTCTTCGTTCTGTCTCTTTTTTTTCTGATTGGCAGTGGAAGACTTAATCGCAATTCGATTACATGTTTCTAATTTCATTTAGATCGGATCGTATAAGCTTCAGCTTCTTCAACTTATCGCCTCATCAATTTTCACCGGTAATTTCTTGTTCAAGTTGATTTGTGCCTGTTTCCATCTCATCCTGCCTTCCCAGGAATAATCTGTTGGTGATAATACGATCATTACCAATTCAGAAGGCATCTTCTTCCAACCTCCTTGCTCTCTTCTCGAGAACTATTTGCTTCACTCTCCACCCACTCTAATGTCTTTTTCTCATTATACGAGATGTGTAAGTGTCACTTTTATTTGAAATGTTATTGTATTTCCATTCCATACAGTCAATGGAACTCCGAACGATATCTTAAAATGGGTTCCACGACTCGTGAAATTCAAATATTTCATTCGATCAGGAAACGCTCCATTGAAATGAAGAAAAACTTTGATTTCTTGGCATTTTCATCCAATCTGTCTCATAAGAGAAGCAAAAAAACATTTTTTGGACATGTCCAGCAACGTTTTTACGTGAATTACGTGATAGGTTTCTGATAGCATAATTCTTCATGGCGTTTCTTCTTTGCCGCAAAAATCGGTTTGCCTTTACGTATTTCTCAACTACCTCGTCCGCTCGCTCTCTTTCTCTCTCTCTCTCTCTCTCTCACTCTTTTTTTAGTCCAGTTTATTGGCCCTCAAGGTGATTGTGTAAGTAAGAAAGGATATGAGCGAAGTCGATAAAAGGTGATAATTGAAGGAAGAGAACTTTTAGGTCAAATTAATTGTTTTTCTTGCTGTTTCACACATAAACAATCAATATGAATTGAACAAGAATTTATATTGAAATATGAGAAAGAAAATGGTGTTAAACATGCTGTTTTATAATAAACAATCACTTCTAATTATGTTTTTTGTAAATCTTCTATTTCTCTTCTTTCCCATCTTTCTCTTCATTTCAGTTAGAAAGAGGAAAAGAAAGGGAGAGAGAGAGAGAGAGGGAGAGAGAAAGAGAGAGAGAGAGTAAGAGAGAGAAAATGAATTGTTAGCGCGTAAGTTGGAGAAAAGTTCCAGAACTTGTGTCTTCTTTGCTTTGCGAATGACCATCAACCATCCTTAATGTTACTCTTCTACCTTGTGTCTACTGCCTTTCTAATTTCTTCATGATATTGCAATTAGTAAATGTATTCATTTCTTCCTTTATTTGGTCTTCAAGTGTCAAGAAAGATTCTCCCTTGAGATCTCAGGTCGATTAGCAAATAAACAGACAGTCTTTGAGGTCTTGTCGGCTAGATTTCAATAGAAGCTCAGATAGAAAGCAAAAGATTAAGAGTGAAAGCGATTGAGGAATCACTTACAGATCATCCGAATCCCATCGTCCTTAAAATAGCCTCCGGAGGCTAAAAATGCGCGTCCAGCTGACAGTTTCTTCTCTCTTTTTTTTCATTTTATTCTGAAATATTGCATTGTATTCAAAACAGTTCGTAATGTGTTTTTCATATACATTTATGCCTATCGTATAACTCGTTTAAAGTTTTCTTTTTTTGGCTTGTCTACAATCATTTTGTGCCCTTCAAGAAAACTTGTCCTTTTAAAGCATTAATCCATCATCATCTACATCATCATCATCTTTTTTTTTTCTTTTACAAAAAATAATATTAATAAATGCTACACGTATAATTAAGTTGCTCACATCATTAGAAGCTTCTCTTCTCTTAGAGCTCCACACGCATTTCCAGTTTTCTCATTCAACCCCCAGTCCCCCCCTCCTCTTGCTCATTTCCGGTTTGAAATTTAACCGTTTTCTGTCATTTCATCAATCATTTTGTATCAAAATTATCTTTTTTTTCTCTTCTCTTCTTCTTCAGAAAAAACAATTCCGTTCGTATCGGACGTTTATCGCTTTACAGGAAAATTTATGGAAAATCTCCAAATGATTTTCAAAGTTTCATCTTATTTATCCCTTTTAATGGCTTAGCCCTTCCTTCTTGCAAGGGTTTCTTCATCAGCTCTCATGTAACTCACAAACGTTTTCAATTTCTTTCTTTTTTTTTATTTTTTTGACTTTTTTTGCGGATAAAAAACAGATTTTCTTACCTTCTGTCACACTTCCACTCCAATTATGGAATTTGCCCACGTGGTTCAAATACTTGAGAAGTGTGGGGGGGGGGGGGGAAGCACAGGAAGTTTTAACGACTTAGTTTTGCGTCTCAGAAGCTGAACAAACAGGTTGCAATCATATAATTCCTTAAGAATAACAAGAAAATATTGTATCAGTCAGTCAGTTTTATCTTTTTGATGCCTCAAGGGGGCATCTTCTCTACTTCTATATCTACTGTTAATGAATAACCTTTTTTGTCCATCATGTGTTATTTATTTATTTTATTCGCTTAATAGTGTACTGATAATGAACTTATCAATCTCTATTGATTAGTCTCAATGATTCATCAAACTTTTTTTTTTGATTAGCACACGTGAAGTTACGTGAAACTTTTATTTTATTCATTTCATTCCTGACAGAGCGGTTGTGTTCATTTCTTTGTGACTTTCTCTCATTCTCATCCTCCTTCTCTCTTTCTCTCTCTCTCTCTTCACTTTTCATCCCTCTTTCAATGTCTCTTTTTTATGAATTCAGTTAGAGTTTCTTTTCATATTTTGAATAGAAGTGACTCACAACCTGTGACTAATAGCCTTATGATGGCAAAAGCTTTAAACTTCACTTCATTTTCCATTTGACCATAAAACTATTTTCTGAAAGTTTCATTTCCCTTTCAATTACTAGAAGATGATAGTAGGAAAGTTGTTCTATTCATATTATGAATAATATCATATTATAAAAATCTGTATATGCTGCTGCTGCTTATCGTCGTTTCTCTCACTTCCTATTCGCCCTCATCTCATCTCCTCCCATTCATTTTTTCATTCAAACCAATTCTTTGATGGTCAAACATTATCTGATTGTTTTAATAAATTTTCGTTTTTTTTCTTCTGTTCTTTCCTTATCCCAATAGGTCATCGGGTTGTTTCAGACGACTTGTTATTACAACTTCTTAGCCTTATATGTCAAAAATCTCATTTTCTTCTCTCACAACATCAATCTTCTTCTTCTCTTTTCACGTAGAACAAGCAAAAAAAAAAGAGAAAAGAAGAAGGATTTCTCATATCAACAATCACATTGGACAATCATAAAATCTTTTTTTTTGTTCCTTTTCTGCATTAACCTCCTCCGAACATCTTTGCATATGCGCATCCTCTTGCATGAAGCACAAAAAGTATCTGGAATTTAGATGTACGCAAGGAGAGAAAAAGAAAAAGTTCGTTCAATTTGTAATTCCATGTTCCTGTCGTTCACATCCTCTTTCACATCTCATTCTATTAGCCAACTGATCTAGTTTGTTATAAATCTCAAAGTATTTTCTTCACCCCCCCCCCTACCCTCTCTTTCTTTTTTCGTTCATCAGCTCTTTCAAATTTGTCTTTTCATCTTATCAAGTCGTTCTTCAAAATTAATCAGAATGGGAAGAGTGTTCAAGGAAAGTGGACAAATTGATAAATTCGGAGTTACTCATCTGTTCCTTTCTTCTGTAACCTCGATTGCCATATGTGACTCTTCTTTGTTTTTTCATTATTTTGACGTTTATCTAAAGGCTTTTGCGATTTATTTCCGTATTTGGGCCACACACACGCCGTCATCTAACCGACCGGCATCTGGTTGATCTGATGACCAGATGGTTCGAAACTTCATTTCATTCTCCAGCTGAAATCATAACAGTTTCCCCGGAAGATGATGATGAAGAAGACTAAGGGGAAGTGGGGGGAAGGACAATTTTTGCATTTGACTGTCTGAAAATTGCATTGAATCATATTTTCTCTCATGTTCACTCTCTCTCGCTTTCTATCTATCTCTGTATTACTCTCTCACTCAGTCTTTACACATCCTTATAATCATTTAAAGCTTGTTTATGTTCTTTCAAACACATTTTACTTTATTGAAAGATGTTTTAAAACCTTTCTTTTCATATTTTAGATAATGCAAGATTATGTGGTCGTCATAATCGCTGTAACATCAGCCTGTTGTCTTCTGGCGGCCATTATTTTGACATTCCTTTTATGTCGAAATAGCAAAAAAACTAAACAAAAACAAGCAATAGTGGCTCCTGTTCGTAAACCATCAAGTAAGAAAAGCATTTTTTTATTTTAATAAAAACTTATCAAAAACCTATTAAAATTTAATAATGAGCTTGTTGTGTAAATATGATGTTTGGAGAGCTTCTCACCTGTTCATCTTTTGTGGAATTTTTGCTCTTCTCATCACCTCACACATTGGCGATTATTTGGTGATTATCCGGTTTTTGAATCCCAAAGTGTCAATTACCAGAAGCAGACCGCCGTCTAGCTGAAGCTTTAAATTCTCGCGTATGCCTTATTGACTTGATGCTTGTTTACTCATTGACCTTTGTTTTCATAGCAACCGGTCCAAAAGTTTGTCTTTTCCAGCTGATATTACGACTTTCCTTTCTCTTCATCTGATGAAATGATAGTGAAATGGCTTAAATCATCCCAAGAAGTCAAAACGGAACAGATGAAACTTCTTGTTCTCTCTTCTACAATTTTTCAAAAACAAACATACAGCGTAAGAAATTAAGAAAAAATAGAAGAAAGAACAAGAAAGAGAGAGTGATTGACTAATCGAATCTCCAACTCATAATGAGGGGAGCGATATCATCTTCTAATGAATATCTCATATATAGAGCTCTTATGAGTTGAGATGAAGAAGGAAGACTATTCTTGTAGAGGATGATCAAGTTCTTCAGAATCATATACTAAAGTATCAAATTAGAAAAGAATCGTTCGAAGAACAGTTTTTTAAGAAGATTGTTCCATTTCCCTTAAAGTACAACAATCCTTGGCCTGAATCGCCAATTATCATTCATTTAGAAATGATAACATTCTTTCAGTTCTTGGTGTCCATCCGAAGATTCCGGATCCGATCTTTACTATTCCGGCTGCAAAGTCAACTGAGAAAGACATAAAGTCAACAGATACATTAACAACCAGAAAATGTTAGTTTCATTTTGATTCTATCTCTTTCTTACTATGCTAATTGAAGTATCTATGATGTTTGACGCTCGTAAAAGGTTTTCATCAGCATTTAATCAACGACAGTCTTATTTTGACTTTGAAAACTCTCCGCAGCCTCGTCATAAAGTGAGAAAACTGCTTGCCCCCGCAAATTTTTATTATTCTTTTAAGGAATATCTCGATTTTAATGATATCCAGAAAATACTACCAACAGCACGTGCTGTTCCATTAGCAACCACAGATCTCAACAGAAAAAATCTTGATGAACCAGCTACATGTATAAGTATAATAGGTAAAGATAATATTCTAATACTTAATACATCATATTAATAATACAGAAGAATGTCCATTTGGAAATCATGATATAGAGCCAGTTAGAGAAGTTTTTAGTGAAAATCATGTTTCATTTCGACGGGAACGTCCACATGTAGGATGATACGCTTAACTATACGTAACCGATGAAGATCGTTAACAATACGATTACTTCTCCCCCCCCCCCCCCCCCCACTCAGGATCCGGTGCTGTTTTATCTATTTTAATATTAAAATAATTGTGAATGAAAAAAAATAGAACTTCGACAGCCGATGAAGCTCAATGTTTACCTCTGAGAAGCAGTTTAATTGTCCTTCAATATAAGATATTTATGTGTGCAAATATGTCAACTATATGTATTACTATGTGAATAATTAGAAAATTACGAGGTTTAACATCATTGTTCCGTATTTCGTTATATGCTTTACAAGAAAAAAAAATAATTTTTATTGTTAAATTTTCTTAAATAATTTGAAGAAAGATTATACTAGACATACAACCGGTCTGTGCGTGAGGCAAGATCAAACTAGAAACAAATACCAGCAGCATAAGCTAGTTCTGCAAAAATGGAATCCTTATCAGACAACAAGCTCATAGGAGTTCCAACTTCCGCAATAGTTCCTTTTTCCAAAACAATTATTCTGTAATGATATCATAAGGTCATGAATTGAGTGACAATCACCTGTCACAGTCTAAAACAGTGTTTAAACGATGAGCGATTGTTATGACAGTTGCGAAATCAAACGAATGCCGAATGGTTTGCTGAACAAGATGACACTGGCTAAGACTTGTTAGGACACGATGCATACCTGTATAACATGATCAGTGTTGTAGTCAATAGGTGCTGTCGGTTCGTCCATTATTATTATACGTTTCTTATGAATCAGAGCTCGGGCCAAACAGATTAATTGACGCTGCCCAACACTGTAAGAGGCTAGTGCAGACTATTGTATTAGGTAGAGCTTACCTCAGATTAGCACCATTTTCATCCAGATGATGGTCTAAGCCATCTTCAAGCTTCTCTACAAACTTTCTCAGATGTGATTGTTCTAACGCTGCCCATAAGCATTCATCTTCACACATCCCCGAAGGGTCCAGGTTGAATCTAACCGTACCAGAGAAGAACACCGGATCCTGATATATGAATGAGAACTAAGTTGGATGATCTGTTCAACCTGTGGAATGATTGTGAGTCGTTCTCTCAGATCATGCAACCCTATTCTTCCAATGTCTACTTCATCGATGATGATTTGTCCTTCAGCAGCTTCGAAAATGCGGAACAGAGCCGATGCCAAAGAGGATTTACCAGATCCACTACGTCCCACAACTCCAAGTTTTTCTCCAGCATTGATAGTCAGATTCAGATTCTCAAAAAGCATATTCACTAGAGCAGAAAGTTGTTTTTCACTATACTTTCAACACGAGATCGAGATCCGAACGATATTTGGCAGAATATTGGCGGAAAGTAATTTTCCCTCTATATGGCCATTTGGTTGCCGGTTTAGGGTCTGAATCCCAAGGAGCCTTAATTAAAAACAATCTTACACATAAACTAATAAAATGAAAACTTCATTCGGTGTGTTTTCCGTGTATTCCTGAATTCTCTCAACACAAACAGAATTTGATTCAATTTGAGATAGAAATTGAATAAACAATTTCATCATAAAAGTTATCTATAAAGCTGTAATGGTTGCTTTAACTAATTCAAACGTTACATTCAAAGAATATGAGATAGATAACCCGATGGTTCCAGATGATAGAGAATCATTGAACTTTGCCCAAACACATAACAAACATGTCACTGTAGGATGTTCTGTTTGAGAAGGATATAAAAAAGAGATCAAACCAACCGAATATCAACAAGTTTCCCAGTACTTCTAAACGAACTCCTAACCAGCATGTTGATAGCATTGAGAAATAGGAGCATTTTGTAAAAGCATAAACTTTCTCTTTGTTTTGATTGATGAACCATTTGGTCCAGCCGAAAGCCCGAATTGTTGATACCCCCTAATGTGGATAAAAAAGGATAAAAGAAACCGGAAGGAAATCGTACTTGGATCGTTTCTCCGAAGTGAGAATAAATTGGTGAACGACTGACAGAGGATAATCTTTGCAATTGTCTTGATGTGCTTACAAAGTATCTCTGTTGAATATGTGTATCAGGTATTCAAGTGAATAAACTTAGATAACTCACTAAGACAATCAAATAGACCACAAGCGTCGGAACAATGAACAGTTTGAACAGCGGAGATGACAGAGAGATGATAATATACACCTTAATAGTTCTGTTGTCACATTCATCACTGCTTAGCTTACTTGGATAAGATTGAAAAAAGCTATAGCTAAGTTTTGAAACTCCTGAGCTAGCCATGTATCCACAACATCCATATCCTTGAATTATGAATGCAAACTGCGTAAACCTGTATACTTACCTTGCCCAGCCGATTCAGTATTCTACTTAGAGGAGTAACGTCGAAGAAGCTTACAGGACACCTCATCAAATTATGAAATAATGGCTCGTGCAATCCAAGAGAGGCTCTGGCTCCACCGTAGACTGTCAGAATCATCCCCAATACAATTGTTAAAACTTGAACACGATATTGAAGTCAACCTAACAAGAGAACAGTACCTTCCATAACACCGAAAGACAAGAACCCGAACAGTCTCAGATCGACAGGCATAACCTGGATGTCCTTTTCATGAACTAAGCTATCATGCGACCTGAAATCATAAAATTCAAAGAAGAAAAAAGTTTTTGAGTTACCAGTTGGCCAACCAAATTCCCCGAGCAATTGCAAAGCCAACACTCAGTGTTATACAGATGATGAAAGGAATGCAACATTTCAATAACCCCATTGCTTGGAGATAGCTCATGTAAACTGACAGCTTCACCTATCAGTTGATAACGTTATGACTTTGAGATAATTTATACTGACTCGTCCTGTCTCAGCAAGCTCTTTCGTCAAATCTTCCTTTCTATTCATTTGTAACGCTTGATGAGGATGCGAAATGAATGGCTTTTCCATCTGAGCAAGTCGGTATGGCTTACGAAATTCAGGTCTTAATCATATGCTTTTCAAACAGGTATCATGTTTTGAGAATCTTACCCACGCATTCGATCACCTTCTTGTTTCTCAACTGTTCTCTTAAGTATATCATCAGCTACGCGATCCTTGAGAAGGTTTGAATAAGTATCAAAATGAGTTATAGTTCCATCTGAATAACGTAAGACTTTATTCATTTCCTATTTCTATAATGTACCTATGACTATGGCTATCTTGTCACACTCTCTCAGAAACGTCAAGTTATGAGTTATGATGACTCTTGTCTTTTTACATAATAGACCATTTGGTCCCAAGACATGTTTGAAAATATGATTTGCCACATTAGCATCGACGGCTGATAATGGATCATCTAATAAGTAAACATCCCTAGAGTTCAAATAGTTATAATGTTTAATAAAATACAGTAGCACCTGTTTTGATATACTGCACGAGCTAATGCAATGCGGGCTTTCTGTCCAGCAGAAAGATTTATTCCCTGAAAGCGCATAAACTACTGATACCAGTCACTGATTGATACCTTTTCTCCTATTTCAGTCATATCTCCATTTGGTAAGTTTTCAAAGTCAGTCAGAAGAGAGCATCCCTAACCATTAAAAGAGAATTAGACAAAACGGAAGGCTATATACCTCAACGACATGATCATAAATTAATTTATCATACGACTGGTCCATCAGAATGTTTTCACGTACAGTTCTATTTAAAGAAAGTGTAATGGTATGAGTAAATCAAGAATTTGAAACCTGTTAAGAATCCATGGTTGTTGACTAGCATATGCTATCATTCCCCGGACTCCAATATATCCACGGATTTTCTCCATATCTCCCAACAGTCCGGAAAGAATCGAGCTTTTACCTGTGGCGACTGTTCCAACAAGCGCTATGAGTTGTCCTCTTTCGATTTCGAGATTGATGTTTTGTAATGAAGTTGATGCATTGTCTTCCCATACAAAAGAAGCGCTGTCAGCTTCAATGGTTTTATCAAAAACTGAAGATTTTCAAAATTATATGTTAGTTCAAGAACATTGTTTACGATCAGCTCTCATTTGACGGTCAATATCACTTCGTCTCAATTCAGGAGCCACAAGAAACTCTTTGATTCGTTTGTTTGAAACCAAGCACTGGAAGAGGAAGAACTAGTTGTATGAAAGCAATCACTTGTTACCTGGATGAGATATTGAATTAGATTGGAAGCCACTAAAAATGGATTTTTAAGCTGACTGAATAACGTCATCGATACAAAAGCAATTGATGGTTTTAAACTATTGTCCGGATTCGTTTTGATGAAAACAGCAAAACTAACAAATGCCACCTGAATACTTTGATGATTAAACTCAGATTAATATGTTTCACGTGCCAATAGAGGGGAAGCCATATTTAACATATCGGCAATAAGTTTAATAATCGAAGCTTTTCGGATTAAATGCATTTCCTGCGTTCTTATATCGTCGATGACATCTTCCAAAGCCTTCTCCCATGCAGAGAGTTTTACAACCTACAAACAAAACAAAACAACTAATATGGAAATATGCTCATATAAAGCCGTTACCTTGATTCCATTGATGATCTCATTAGTTAAACGAACTCGATCTTCCTTCAATCTCTTCTGATCCATAGTATACTGCTTGCTTGTCCTTGTTATATGTACATTAATTGGCATTATCACAATCTGAAAGAGTTAGAAAATGAAAATCATTTGAGGGCAGATCTTCTACCATCATTCCAACTCCAGCTATTACAGATATTCCTAACAACTTGTAGAGATAAAATATACATATTACAATCTGAAGAATAGAAAAATAAAAATAAAGAAATGAAAAGAGAGAATGAGTCTGAGACAACCGTTCGGTAGAAGCTAAGCTT